TGGTCTAGTATACTGTCAGTGTAGCTTCACTGCTAAATAGCAAATGTACATAAAACTAAATCTGGCATCTACAAAAGTTAAAAAAAAAAAGAAAGAAAAAAATCATGTTAATAACTTTACGACTAAAATCTTTATACAATAAAAATTTGCAATCAACACTAAAGACTTCCTCCAATATATTCTTTGTACATTTCTAAATAGTAGGTCAGCAAATGAAGATAGTGAGAATAATGCCATAAGTTGCTTACTGAAGCTCTAAAGAGTTAGTAGGAAAAATTACATCTAAGGCAATCTTACATTAAAACTAGAAAGTTTTACTACTAACACACTACCGCTTCATGTAAGTTTACAGAGCAGACAAGTGACAGTGAATTTAAAAAAAGTTAAAAATAGTTAAAATAAACTAAATAGCTGAAAATAAGCTAAACACAAACGGTATTGCCAGAACAAACAGCAATTTGATTAGAACACAGTGGCCGAATATAAGCCACTATAAAATAAAATAGATACTATCTGTTCTACTCACAAAAGGAAAATTGATTAATTGGTCTTAATTAACCTCGAAAATAGATTAACTGACCTTGCAGGACCTTGGATACTGCAGAAACTGGTAGATAAGCTTAATTTCTTTCACTATGAGCCGAACTCAGAAAGGCCAACAACCAATAGAACCAGGACTAAAGTCATTGCAGCAGTATGCAAAGACTGGAAATTAAAAAAAGGCTTAAGAAACTTGATGCCAAAGGTATCGGTGCCTTTGATTTAAAAGCAACGAATGGCTTTAGAAGAAAAGAAAATTCATACTGAATTTGCAGAATTAGCTTTGACACGCATTCTGTCGGTCAGCTTCAGCAGTAGATTTGCATCTCTGAAGTTGTCTAGAAAAAGCCATAGCTTAAAAGGTTCTGACAGGTTTTTATAGAGACTAATAGAAATTCTACCAAATGCAAATCTATCAAGTGTTACCAACTTCAATTACATAACTAAACACTAGACTAAACCTAGTAAATACTAAGCATTTACTACGCAAGGCTTTGATTCTGCAATTAGGTTATTAATGGTTGTTATATGTTGCTGTTACAACAAGAATGAGAATGCAGTCAGTAGCACAAGTTATGCTAAAATAGCATCACTTTGTCAATGTAAGTATTTTAATTAACTACTAAGGTTTTTTCAGTACTTCACTCCTATGGCTGAACAGTAAAAGTTACATTACTAAGGACAACAGGTGAGTATTGCAACGTAACGTACTCAGCGTTCTAAAGAGTAAGTGCTCCTGGTGGATGGGACAGAATTATAAATGTTTCCACTACATACTCCTATACTACCACAATGATAATGAAAATTATGCTAATCAATGTCAAATACTTGTCTTAAACTGTAACTTTTCACATAGCTGTATTGTAGGCATTTCCACTACATAACATACTGCACTGTGAACAATTCATATTTGTTTGCAAGCATAATCTCAAGCAAGGCTGCTTCTAATGTAAAGCATAATAATATAAAGTAATCCACTATTAGAATGTGAAAAGCACCTCGGTTTTACAGGACCGCACAAGCTCTGAACTAGAAAATAGAAAAGGAACACTGCTCCAAAACATAAAATAAAGGTGGCATACTTGTTTCAACACTACGTTTTTGCAAATTCCCTATTTCTGTCAGTAAGAATCCATGAGTGCCTTCTAAGCTGCTTAAAAGATAGGCAGCATACTACACTGGTTTTATTTCTCTGTTCCTCATAGCTCTTACAAATGCTTCCACATTCAGATTACTACCCTTAATGTCACAGGACAGTTCTTAAGTTGTTTTGAAAAGCTCTATACATTGATTGACACAAAATGCACTACAAGATACATGGAGAATTTTTGTCCACAACTACGATGGGATCTCAAACAGTGTTTCATTGGAAAACTGAAAAACCAAGATTGAATGCAGTTAAACTACTTAACATTTGCAGAGCCCAACAAATTATCTCCACAAGGGCAAGAAAGGCCTATATTTTCAGAGTTTCCCTAGAGAATTAAAAAGTGTATTTGTAGGACTGCCCATGTATTACATGGAAGCTATTCTGTAAACACATGAGCACCAGAACTAGATTCTTTCAAGCCATCATCATGTAAAAGCGATTACTTCCTTCATTAACATTTCTGTATCAGTAGATACGTATGCAGGTATGTGTAAGAACCCTATATATACATATAGGTATGTATACACACAGACATATGGGAAAGTTGGTCTCAAATATCAAAAAACCCCTTAAATGTAATAAATGATTTATATATTGAATATAATTCAATTTTGCTGCAAAATGCCACGTAACTAAACATAAAACGAAATTCTGTTGGCTCTTCAGAGCAAAGAGATAGGATTCCGGTAGGATTTCAGGTGGACTAATGACGCCTTCCTCATTGGAAGCTATCTATAGAAAACCAAAGTTTTAACATGCAATGTGCAGCGAATCAGGACTAATGCTTAATCTACTTTAAAGCAGGCTTATTTAAAAAAATAGAAGTTTCCCAAGAAGAATAAGCTTAGAATTTCTCCACAGTTAAGACGATATTAAAAATGTCATTCCTTGCTCGACTCGATAATAAATCGTATCACTAGCTAGCTGCTTGCAGTTCAGTCTGTTCAGTATTTGTTAACAGATAGGATATCAAGGCATACAATCTGTTGACTACTTCCAAAATTTTCTTCCTAGAAAGAAGTATATTAACGGTGCTGCAAACACCACTCCACCCATGCCCTCTGATGTAAATCATATTTAGGTCTTCCAGTTGTGAAGCACCTGATCGAAGCGAAATATGGCAGGTTTAACGGACATTAATTTATTCTCTGAAAGAAGAATAGGAAAAAGTTCACTACCTACATGAAAAGTATAAAGTTGGGAGACATAGTTGTACACTGGGACTTGCAAAAATTGTTTGAAAATAACAACTTGAAAGAAAATAATGACTCAAACAGTTCTTGAACATAACTTTCTAAAGTAAGTACCAGTGCTTCGAAGGGTACGACACTTTAATGTTCATAGCAGAGATTTTGAAAGCATCAACCGAAAAATCATCTTAACTGTCAAGTGCCACAAGTTGCAGACAAACTATGAGATATACAAGCACAATTTTTGTGAAACATTCATTTTTTTAAAGGGGTAAAAAAGCTGTACTAATGCCTAATAACAGCTGAAGTGAAGACAGGACATCATGAAAGAGAAGACAAGCTTTGAAAGTCACTGACAAAAAGCGCAGCCGGGCCCAGGCCGTATACCTGTGCTAAGTAGGAGGGCGTACAAATTCCTCGGTTTGCAGGACTAAAGTTGTCAGGCGAACGGGACAGACACTCGGTACTAAGGGGGAAATCCTGCCTTCCTTCACAGCAGATAATGGCAAAGTTTTCATTAATTAAGGGAAGGCCAGGATTAACTTAAGTGAAGCACTGCTGATCTTGATTGCTGCCTGGTGTCAAGGGGACCAGAACCATGCATTACCTGCTTGACCTCGGATGAGTTAAGCTACAACGGCTCCTCCAGCTGGCTCCTGTCTACGCTTTTGAGACAGATAAAGGGTGACAGCGTGAATCCCC